CATTGCACAAAACATAGTTTGCACCACATAGATTGCATGCCATAGATTGTACAACATAGACTGCACCACATAGATTGCACCACAAAATGTTTCACCACGTTATCTGCACAACGTTGGTTGCACCACATAGGTTGCACCACATAGATTGCATATGTTACACAACACGTATTGCACATTAATTGCGCAACATTGAATGATTGCTAGAGCACACGCTGCTTCGGATCCACGCGAACTAGCATATGTACAAAAACAGCACGTGCGTGCTCAGGCTCATATCAAGTCGCATCTGAAGATGAGGAATGAGAAGATTGAGAAGCAGAGGAACAAGGAGAAGGAGGATTATGAGGATCACCCGATGGCCGCTGTGCATGATCTGCAATGGTGGGGTCGCAATCGAATGTAGGTGGGGGTGCCACACCTTGCGATGAGAGTGGCTGAGGAGGGGATGCCACTCCGTGCGATTGCACTGGAAACCAAGATCCGAAGTCAAATCTTGGAGGATGTCTAAAGCGACAACGACTTTGGAGAACATTGAGATAACTTTGAATCCGTAGTTTTAATGTGTGTGGAATGTCCCGGGCAAAACGGACACGTTTCCCAGAGCTGCGTCACACATCATTGACATCCAATTGAGTTTGAAGGGTTTTCTCCCTCATGCTTTAACCCCTGAATGTTCTTGGACCCTGACGCCGCGATCTGCGTGAGGGGTGCGTCCAATGTTCGGAATCCCGAAGAGATCTCACATGAAACGGCAAGGCAAAACGCGAACGGGACCCTCTGGCCTGAATCGTTCGCCTCTCTTTCGGAGAGGTGATCATGAGGATACACACATATACAGATGTATGTATGTATGCATGCATTCATGTATGTATGTATGTATGTATGTGTGTATGTATGTATGTATGTATGTATGTATGTATGTAGGTATGTATATATGTATGTATGAATATATATATATATATATATACCAGCACGTATGTACGCATGTGTGCATGCATGTGCATGTATGTATGTATGCTTGCATGTTCGTACATCTGTAGGCATGTATGTATACGTGAATGCACGCATCCATGCATGTACGTATATATGTATGTGCACGTATGTATGCATGTATGCAGGTATGCATGTATGTATGTATGGTTGTATGTATGTATGTATGTACGTACGTACGTACGTACGTATGTATGTATGTATGTGTGCATGTATGTATGTATGTATGTATGTATGTATGTATGTATGGATGTATGTATGTATGCGCATGTATGCATGCATGCATGCGTGTATGCATGTATGTATGCATGCATGCATAGTTGTATGTATGCATGCATGCATGCATGCATGCATGTATGTATGTATGTATGCATGCATGTATGTTTGATCGTAGGTATGTATGTGTGCGTATGTGGTCATGCATGTATGTATGTATGCATGGCTGTATGTATGTGTGTGCATGTATGGATGCATGCATGCATGCACGTATATGCATTTGCATATATATGTATATATGTTTATGAATCGGTATACGCATATGAACATGTATGTGTTTATGTATGTGTATATGTACACAACTATGCGTATGTATACATATTTTTATATATATATGTGTGTGTGTATGTATAGATGCATGCATGTAGATTCTTATCCATGAGTTTGCACATACATACATATCCACACGTGCCCCAAGATCTGGCTCCAGGCGAAAACCTGCGGCGCCAGGGCCAACAGGCGTCATAGGGGCCCACTTGCGTGCCCTTAGGGGTCCTCCGAGGTCTCCACGGGGCTTCGGAGAGCCCAGGCCCCGGAGAACTTCTGCGGACCTGGGCCCGCCGGCCTCGCCTCCTCGGGGAGGGAGGGCCGCCAAAGACGCCCTGCACGGCGCCGGGGAGCCGCCCGGCCGCCTCATCGCGGGAGCACGACGCCGAGGAGCGACTTGAGCACACCGTAGGCTCGGTAGTCGAACGTGTGGTCGCCGTCCGGGATCGTGTCCGGGGTGAGCATCACCTCGGGCGCCTTCCTCATCGTCTGGGCCAGCAGCTCCCGGTAGGAAGTGGGCGTGGCCCTGTTCTTGCTGCCCCACATGACGAAAGTCTTCAGCGACTGTGTGCCTCGCGGAACCTTTGAAATTTTGTCGGCGAGGTACATCGGGAAAGGTACCACTGGACTGAGCAGCACCAGTGATGACAACTGCTTCGGAAATATCTTGAGCAACGTCGCGTAGGTTGCTACGCCAGCGCCCTTCCCGAAACCGTACAGAACGACGTTCTTCCACTCCAGCTTGTACTCTGTTAGCTTGGCTTCGATGGTCTCTGACATCGCATGACCCAACAGGTCTACGTCATGGAGCATGTCCAAATCCTCGTTTCTGAGGCTGCGGCGGTCTCGGGCATAGAAAGAGCCGTCGACCACCTCGGGTGCGGTGACACGGAACTCCTCCAGGCCCTCTCCGGCCATGTGCTGGGACCAAGAGACATAACAGAAAGCAGCGCCAGAGAGGTCGTCT